TAGTTTATATTTCCAATTAATTTGTAAACAACATTTTTATTATTTTACAAAATAACAAATATTTATATTAAAGTAAGTCAAGACTTTTAGTTTGTCAAATGGCTAATATATAGCTGACACAGTAATTAAGGAGATGATTTGTTTTATTCTTAAATGCTGTGGAAACTGGATAATTATTAGTAGCACCTTTTACTGGTGGCCAACATTATAATGCAGAGCACAGAAGAGTCAGCACAGATCAAATATTTTAGATATCTATATGTTATTTCTCAATAATGTTACAGCTTTGTTATTAATATTATATACTATTAATTTTTATTTTCCATTATGATGTATAAAAATAAGCTGAATTTATTTAGCAGGAGTCTTTTTCATCCCTCATATATTAGCCATTGCTTTCGTAAGAGAATCATCTGAAGAAAAGTGATTTAAATATAGTTCCTTCTTACTTTTGTATAGAAAATCCTTCTACTTTCTTATGCCTTATTTACATTTGGTAGTAGTTAAACCATATGAACTTTCATACGTAGAAATGATTAATTTCATATGGCTCAACCTAAGTTTTAAGCCCTTTATTTTAGTTTTTTCAAAAAAAGTAGAAAACGAAATTTTTTTCACATATACCTTAATATAGCCTACATAATATGTAACAAAAATCCACACGTTTAAAGGAAATATAACAACAATTTTTAAGATAATCCATAGGGGGCCTTAACAATATTTTTTTTCCCAATAATCTCTGTATTCCTTTCAATGAGCATCTTGCTTGAAATTTCTCACAGTTGTGTTTATAGTTGATCTCAAATCATTTGGCTTAGGAAACAAATTACGAGGCTGAGTTTAAATGAAGGAAAATCAGGTTAGATCAGAATTTGCAGGGGAGGGGAAGTGTTGGCAGACCTTTGGGTCCCTCTTTCCCCTTTCCATTTCTCACATCTACGCTTATTTATTTCTGCTCTTGCTACATCAGAATTACGTGGAGCTTTTAAAAACACAAGTTCCCAGACCCTGTACTCCAGAAGTACTGATTTAGTCTGGGTTGGTGCCTCAGGTATCAGTATTTTGTAAGAGTTCCCTGTTGATTTAATATGCAGCCATGGTTAAGAACTATCATAGCACTTTGTGCTGTGTAATAGATATTGTGAGAAACGTTGAAGAAATCTAACAACTGTAATAGCTTATAATGCTAGCTTTATAATTATATAAACCCAGTACTCCTCTATGCATGGTGTCAATTAACTCATATAGAAATTGATATATTTTGATATATTTTGTTGATATAATATAGTTGATATATTTTATTATATACGTCTATATTCTGACTCCAGCCCTTTCTTATTTTTATAGAATTACTCTTGAGAAGGAATATTTTTATACAGTAAAGTAGAAAGCACTGGAAAAATAGTTAATTTTAACCATTCCGTTGTTTTCTTTCTTAAGAGACTTATGAGATATAAACCATTGAATGTCATTTTGAAGATAAGTAAAATTTACCAGCCAGTTCCATAAAATGTGTCATCTTTGGTAAATAATTTTAAATCAATTTAAACTATTTTTGAAAGGAATAAAACTCAGGTCAAGAGAGATATCTATTATGAAACCACAGAGTGAGAAATGCGCTAGGTTCATTTTTCTGGCTGAAAAATCATACAGTCTGAGAGGACTTAGGACTGCAATTTATGTTGCATTCTAAAGCACAAAAATGTTAACAGTGATTTCCTTGATGAGGCGTTGCTGTGGTCTGTGAATAGATCATTTAGAAGAGATAAACTTGAAGAGAATGAATAAAATAGTGTTGTAAATGACTGACCTCTAGTGTCTCATTAGTTATGTTGGGAAAAGATCAACATGTTCTTCAAATTATTTTTGCTAATACAAAAAAATTTTGAAGAAAATTGGTAGCATTTCTTTTATTAAGTAACAGAATTCAGAGAATATTTCTGGAACACAAAGACTTATACAGGGTATGTACTCAATAAATCAACTAAAATCTAGTTCTTAGTGGGAGTCGTATTAGGGACTTACCTACAGAGTGTGAAAAAACATAATATTGTTTATTATGTCTTAGCTATGTGTTTCTCATGTGCAGAGAAATTCTCAGTGTTCTCAACAGTTAATTGATTTTTTTTTTCCTGAAGAGTTAAAACTGTCGAGCCAAAAAAAAGAAAAAAAAAAAGGGAAGTGGGCAATCTGTTGTGTTCCCTTGAAGCTATTTTTCCAGAGAGGAAATGGTGAATGGGTGTTTCTCTTTATGAATAATGAGTGAAATCTCTAGAGACAGTGCAGACTTGGATGGAGAGGCAGGCACAGAAACAACAAGAAGCACCTCCATCTCCCATTACATGGGGACAGTGGTGGTTCAGCAGTGAAATTCTCACCTTCCATCAGGAGACCTGAGTTCAATTTCCTGCCAGTGCACCTCATGTACAGCCACTACCCATCCATCAGTGGAGTCTTGCATGTTGCTGTGATGGTGAACGTGTTTCAGCAGAGCTTTTGATTAAGACACACTAGGAAGAAAGGCTTGGCGATCTACTTTCAAAAATCAGCCAGTGAGAATCCCGTGGATCATAATGGTCCAGTCTGCAACTGATCATGGGGATGGCACAGGACCAGGCAGCATTTCTTTCCGTTGTGCATGGGGTTGTCGTGAGTTGGAGGCCTGCTCAAAGGCAACTAAGAACAGCAACAGTATCACCCTTGTGGTAGAGAGAGGTTAAGAAGACTAAAATGAAGGAACACTGTCCTTTCTATTCAGGTTCTAGACAGTAAATTCTAATGACTTGGATTTTCTTCAACAACTCAAATGTTCCATTGTTCTCAGATCTTTTCTTCACTGACCAAATAAATGAAGCTGTCTATACATACAAATAAATTTACTTTTAGAAATGTGCATGAGTTTAAACGGAAAAGTTATTATTTTATGGCTTGTCTCATCTAAATCTTTCTCCATGATAAATTGGATTTATTATATATTTCTTTAGAATATGCTTGTCAGATCCAGTATCTAAAATGGTTTTTAGCTTTTTAAATCAGTTCTATTTCTGAAGAAAGTTTCTTTTTATTCTCTTTCTATATTCACGGTAAAAGAAATAAGGAACATTTATTTATATTTTTTCCTTTTCCTTTTTCCCCCAGGCCAAATACAAAGGCACCATTAAGGCAGACCTTTCCAACTCTCTTTATAAGCAGATGCCAGCCACAATTGACAGTGTCTTTGCAAGAGAAGTTACACAGCTTCAGAGTAAGGTATCATTTTCCTAAATTGTTATATAATTATGTAGATCATACTTATAACCTAATATAAATTATTTATTTATTTTAAAGTTGTTTATCTTGGGTATGAAATACTGAATGAAAGTTGGAAACAATTGGTTCATGTGCTATCCATAGTCTCTGGTGGAATCATAGAAAATGAAAAGAACATGCAAGCTTATGTCAGTCACACAGTGCTGTTTTTCCTAGCCCCATTCAGCATTGTGCCTGTATAGGGCATATTTTAATCTCATTTTGACAGTTTACTTAGATGAAATTATTGGGGAAAATATTAAACTGTTCTCAGATTAACTTGTGATTCCCAACGTGGAGAAGGTTTCAATAGCTTGTTAGCAGTCACATAAAGAGTTAATGGTTGAATTTGAGATTCACCAGTCTGTGCTTTACCAGTTACACCGGTGGTTCCCGAATTTCCTTTTCTCTGGGCTCTGGCTGCCCAAAGGAGCCTCCATCAAGTGGACGCAGCTATTTTAGTGACCATAAGTTGCAGTAAGAACTTAAAAACTGTCATCATGTAAACTTATTTTGAATATAGTAGTTTAGGAGTAATTTTTCCTTAATAGGACATGAACACATAAGGCATTCTTTATGTATTTAAATCTATTGTATTTCTTAAAATGGAATTTAAAAGTAGAATATTTCACCTCTTTATTCACTTATTGTTTTGTCTCCTTCATAGTGCAGTCTGATTTATTTTTGTTATATTATTTATATGTTATTTGTCTCTATAAGCTACATGAGAGTAGGTACTTCAGCTGTCTTGTTCCCTGCTCTACCTTGGGCTTTTAGAACAGTGCCTGCAACAGAGGGAGTGTTCAGTAAATACTTATCGAATGGATACTTGTTGAATTTCTTTGTTTTCTTTCCTTTTAAGAAAATTCTTTCTTTTACGTAGTTTACATTCTTCATGCTAAATTTTAGTTTAAAAATAATAACAGACACATGGAAATGCTTACTATGTGCCAGATGCTGTTCTATGCATTTCACATATATTTACATCATTTAATACTCACAACAACCCTATGTTAAAGATCTGGAAACTGGAGCACAGAGAGGTTATGTAACTTGCCCAGCATCAGACAGCCAGTCCATGGCAGAGTCTTTTACATGAACATGAGTCTGGCTCCAGAGTCTGGGTTTTTAGCCATACCACCTTTTCTACCATTCCTACTCCACTTTTTCTTATTAGACAAGTTCACTTCTTTCTGTGGACTCTTTTTACCTTTTAGTAGAGGATACCTAGATAAATTTAAGAGTCTGAAAATAGATTAAAATCTCATTGCTATTGAGTCAATTCCAACTGATAGCGACCCTATAGGACAGAGTAGAACTGCCTCTTAGGGTTTTCAAAGCTGTAATCTTTACAGAAGCAGACTGCCTTATCTTTCTCCGGAACAACTGGTGGGTTTGAACCACTGACCTTTCGGTTAGCAGCCAAGCCCTTAACTACTGCGCCTTCTGAAAATAGAGTACTCTCGAAAAATACTGAGCATAGTTATCCTTGCAGAACATCTTTAAGTACTTGATTATTACAAATGTAAACATCCACTGTGTACCCAATTTGGCAGTAAGCTAATCTCAGCAATGTAACATGAGGCTAAAAATATACGATGTCAATGTTGAAGTTCTGCATGGCTGACCATGACTAATACGCCCTTTATTTTTCCTGCCAACATCTGGTCACCCCAACTATTTACTGATATTATGGACTATTCCATAAAGCAAATAATTATAACCCAATATTTGATATGTGACAAGCAACAATTATGTAATAAAAGAAAAAATCTATTCTTATTTTATACTTACATAATTACATGCAACATAGAAATTAACATATAATAATAACCTATATTGTACATTTTGTAATCTTTTTTTTGCCAGAATAGGAATTCACTTACATTGCTGACATGTGTTATCATATATTAGAATGTATACCGCTGGGAAAGATAGGTATGTGCTCTATAATAACAATGCTCCCACTGTAATTAGTCACTGAATTTGTTATTAAGGAAAAACCCGGACTCTGTATCAGGTATCTCTTTCAATGATTTACATAATTCTAATAAGATTTATTTACATTTATATACTTTAATTTTATTTTTGACGGCATTTTAATTCTTAGAACCTTTACCTGGTGTCTTAGGCTGGGTTCTCTAGAGAAGCAAAACCAGTAAAGCGTATAAATATATACAGAGAGATATTTGTACTAAGGAAATGGCTCATGCGATTGTAGAGGCTGCAATGTCCCAAGTTCGTGGGCGAGGCTGGGGGCTTCTCCTGATTCACTTAGCTGCAGGGGCTGATGAACCCAAGATCGACAAGTCGGACAGCAGAGCTCTGGCTCACAGGCTGTGAAGACTGACAAATCCCAAGATCTGCAGGCAAGACTGCAGGTAAGCTGCTAGCTCAAGTCCCAAGAACTGGAGGTCAGGTGAACAGGAGCGAGCTGCAGGATCCAGAGCCAGCAAAAGCCCATGAGCCTTGCCAGAGTGTCCACCTATATTGGATGTAGGCCACGGCCTCGAGGAAACCCTACTTTCAACTGATTGGCTTCTCACAGAAGATCCTATCATGAATGTGATCACATTATATCAAATCTCATCATGGAAATGATCACATCATCATATGACCGCCAAACTACATCATAACTGCCAAACCACTGAGAATCATGGCTCAGCCAAGCTGACATGCAACCTTAACGATCACACCTGGTAGTAAGAGAGGCAAGAAAGTAGTAGATGTATTTGACAGTGTTTGTGATAATTAAACCACTATCCTTTTATGTGTCCTAATAGTATCAGGTTTGTGGTAACCTAAATTAGAGTATTCCCCTACTCGTCTGTCAGTTTGTCATACTGTGGTGGCTATATGTTGCTGTGATGCTGGAAGCTACGCCACTGGTATTCAAATACCAGCAGGGTCACCCATGGTGGAAAGATTTCAACAGAGCTTCTAGACTAAGACAGAAGAAGGACCTGGCAGTCTACTTCTGAAAATATTTACCAGTGAAAATCTTATGAATAGCAGTGGAACATTGTCTGATATAGTGATGGCGCAGGACCAAGCAACATTTTGTTTTGTTGTACATAAGGTCACTATGAGTCAGAACCGACTCAATGGCACCTAACAACAATAACAACAAATTAGAGCATTAGACAAATTGTAGAATTTAATAGAGTTCCAAGTTCTAATGAAAAATGTCCTAAACTTATGCACTGCTGGTGGGAATGTAAAATGGTACAACTATTTTGGAAAACCATATGGCACTTCCTTAAAAAGCTAGAAATAGAAATACCATATGATCTAGTAATCCCACTCCTAGGAATATATCCTAGAGAAATAAAAGCTGTCACATGAATAGACATATACACACCCATGTTCATTACAGCATTATTCACAATAGCAAAAAGATGGAACAACCTAAGTGCCCATCAACAGATGAATGGATAAACAAACTATGGTACATACACACAATGGAATATTCTGCAACAGTAAAGAACAATGATGAAT